ATAAAGTAGAAGGTAAGCAATCTTACCTGTCTCTATTTCCCCATCTGGTGTGCTGTGCTCAGAAATAGAAAGACATTTAGTTATAAAAGTGAGTCCAGAGGAGGGCCATGAGGATTCTCAAAGGGCTGGAGCACCTCTGCTACGAAGACAGGCTGAGGAAGTTGGGGTTTTTCAGCCTGGAGAAGTCTCCAGACTTTACAGCAGCCTTACAGTATCTAAATGGGGCTAGAGGAAAGCTGGAGAGGGACTCTGTCAGGGGGTGTGGTGATAGGACAAGGGGGAATGGCTTGAAATTAAAAAAGGGTAGGTTTACATTAGATATAAGGAAGAAATTCTTTACTCTGAGGGTGCTGAGGCCCTGGCACAGGCTGCCCAGAGAAGCTGTGGGTGCCCCATCCCTGGAGGTGCTCAAGGCCAGGCTGGATGGGGCTTTGGGCAACCTGGTCTGGTGGAAGATGTCCCTGCCCATGAAAGGGATTTGGATTAGATGGGCTCTAAGGTCCCTTCCATAGGCATATTGCCTTTGAAGTCAAAACTCAGTTTAGAAAGGAAGCCCCAGACAACAAACTACTAAGAGGCAAAATCTTTTGTTTGAGGCTGAGTAACTGCTTTACTCAATCCATCTTAAAGGTTTGTTTCAACAAAAGAAGTTGATTGTTTGGGGTTCATTTAACCCAAGAGAGTGTTTTTCCTTTCTTAGTTTTTTTTCAGTTTGTCACATGAACTAAAGCAAAGAAAGAAGCAAGGGAAAAAAAAAAATGCATCTCTTACATTTCTTACATACAACCCCTAAATTTTAATACAAGCTGGAAACCATTCAAGTTTGATCTCTTACTGCCCTAGGTCGTTCTTACAAACAGTAACATCTGTACTGAAAGGTATGTGATTGTTCCGTATATCTTTTTTGATGAATAGAACAAGAATCTACACTCTCCCCAAATTTCTGTTTTCTTGTACTGCCTCTACCCTTGCATTAAATACAATGGAGAGCTCTGACACCCTGAAAAATGCTCTTTTCCCTCATCCCCATCTTGCTTAGTCATATTGATGGCACAAACATAAAAAATTCATAGTCACTAACCACCCAGTGGGCTGCAGCTTTATAATTTAATTTGGAAGTCATCTCTTTTATTTTATTTTTTAATAGCCTGGTTTTGACAAAGTGTGCGAAGAGGGGTGGGTAGAAGCAAAGCAGCACGCCTATAAAACAGGGTTTTACTGGAGGAATTGGTCTTTGTCAGCTCTGCTGCAGTCTCAGGAAGGTGGTGATGATGAAATAAGAATGCCCAAGCAGGGACAGCGCTCTCTGACAGACCAGCCACACATGGGGGCACATGAGGACTGCAAAACCTATGTGTGTAAGCGAGGCTCAAGACATGTCTTGGACTTCACAGAGTACTCGTTGTATCCCAGAACTGCACATGGGTCAGTTTCCACCCCATGAGGCTTCGAGTAGCCAGGATTTTCATCAGTTCCTCTCTCAAAGAACATGCTAAGTCACGATGCGTCAGACTAAAACTCATTGCCCATTTCAGGGAGAAATTAATTAATTAATCACCCTATGTTTGCTGATTCAGCTGCACAAGTCTGGCTATAAAGGACAAGGGGAACTAGTCTCACATGGAATCAATGCATTATAGACACACATACATGTAATTAATCCCGCAAGGTTCTTCCACATTGTAAATGCAGACAAGTTCTAAGACATCTTTCCTTCTACTGTGAGTCCATCTTCAACTGCTCCCAGCACTAACAGCTGAAGCTACAGCTTTACATATACAAGTCTGAGCCATATCCTGAATCCACACCAAAGGCTACTCCAGCAGATCTCGTGGGAAGCACAGACCTGGGAATCTGGCTGGTGGAGTTTGATTTTGTAATACCACTAACCCCCACGATGTTCACCCAGGCGTGTTCTGCCTTTGCCACACAGCCCAGTGGGCCCAAGTTTTGGCAGATGTGTGTCCTTGAGCCATCCTTGTAACTGCTTTCTTTCCAGGTTTTCTTCTTGAACTCACTCTGTCCTTTTTCTGTCTCAAAATTACACAAAATTTCTCATCCCCATGAAAGTTATGTGCAGAGGCTTCACCCCTAAAGAGCATGGAAACCCAACAGAGCCCTTTTAGGGTTATCAGAGAGGTTAGGGGGAGATTCTGTGAGCAACTGTTGCCTGCAAGCTTAACAAAAGGAATTAAATTCACACTTTCTGGACAAAACCCCACCATGGTATGAGGCTGTCTGCCTGCAGAAGGCAGGGCACTATGTTTCTCTGGATTCTGAAGGATTACAGGGTGGATGCTCTGCCCATGTAACCACCTATGAGGGTAACACATGAGGGTTGCTCTCAGCTATGTGAGCACTCAGGGAGCTCAAATGCCTGCTCTTATCAAAGGGCCCGGACATGAACAGCTATTGTAATAGAAATGTAAGTGCAGCCAGAATTAACAGAATACACAAAATAGTCTGATTTTATTTATTTTTGTCCTTAATAGATCATGTTAAGCTGACCTTTAGCTCAATCTCTTTAGCGAGACTAAACAATTCTTGGGACATGACAAAGATACTTTTGAAAGAGAGAAGGAGTCAGTTTGAGATGAATCATGAGAATATGCAAAATTTGGGAAAAATCTTGCAATGGAAGCAGCAGCACTCAGACCTGGTTTGGCACTGCCAGGAGTCACCCCACCAGCATCAAGCAAGGGAACCTGCTTGATATATTGCTCATATATAGTGGACATATAACTGTGTGCACGTGCACACTGGGAGCATTTTAGCAGTAGTTATAGAAGGGTGTTTAGAAATTTTTAGGTGTTTATTGCTACTTTCTGTGTGTCTTTTATTCCAGTTTATCTGTCGCATTGCTGATATCAATCTTGAATGCAAGGTGGGCATGTTGTCAGGTAATTATGTGTTGTTAATAAATCAATAAACTGCTTCAATTCTGAGTTGGTTTAATGTGAACCGAGCAGTTTTTCCCTACCACAGGTACTTTGCAATGCTAGTCAGGGACTTAAATTCTATGTGGATACTGTACTGTTAATATCATTCCTGATAATATAATTTCTGGCATTTCTGGACATAGCGGTTCGTGTTCCCTAGTCAGCTGGACGCAAGGTGCACAGCAGTAGGGGTCTGATGGAAATTAGCCAGAAGTTCACAGGTACATAGTGCAAAAATGAAGGAAAAAAAATTGAATTTTTGGCCATAGCTAAAGCAGCACTTGGCACAGAACAGCAGGGAGCCAACTGCCTCAACCTCTCTTAATTACTTTGCATTTCCACTTGATATAAATAATAAATGGCCAACCCTTAGGCTATACTCTCCCCATTTCACCCCATAGGTGGGATGGGGCTTCAAGTTCTTACAGGGCTGGCAACTTAATTGCTCAAGAACAGCAGGGCAGCTCATTGTAGCAATTAGAAGGCTTAGAGTTGCACAAAGCCTGGGGTCAGCACGTACTCAGCAGATGTGTAGGGGACTGAAGGTTCAGTCCCTGATATTACAAGTGGTTCTGTACTTGAACAAAATCTTAATACAACAGGTGACTGAAAACTGAGGATGCTTTCAGTTTCAGTGGTAGACAATGCAAAACTCTCCTTGGGTCAGAATTATCCATAACATAATTTTATATCAAGTTTTATAGAACTTTTGCCATCAGTTCAGGAACAGGGCTAGAGAAATCCTCATTTCTTCTTTTGAAGAATTTTGAATAAGACCAGATATTTCAAGATTTTTCCTATACTGTAAGTATTGGTGGGTCCACATCCGACATCTTGTCAGCAGAAGGTCTGGCATCTCAGATAGGGCAGTGGGAAAAAGATCAAGGAACTAGTGCTGCCCTGAGGCATTTCTGCCCCCATGAAAGATTCATTTTGCTCCAGTGCTGCTGCCTAGTGCTCCTCTATTTCTTTCAGTACATCCATCAGGCTAACAGCATCTCAGGGTCTGAAGGGTGATAACTATGGCCCCTGGTGTCCTTGTAGGAGCCAGAATCTTGCCTTTGAGTAACCATAAAACCTGAGCTTTGCAGTGAGTATGGCATTACATGAGGCATAAGAAAAGCTTGTGAGATCTTTAAGTCTCTTAAATTTTAGTGGGCTGCCTCTGCAGACTGCATCCAGAATGAAAATGATGAACAACAAAGGAGACACAGAAGGGGAAAAATCCCTCTGCACAGAGATGAGCTCCTTAGATGTATTGCAGCTCTTTTTTCAAAGCATTTGTTTCCCCTTTAACATCACTGTTGACATTTCAATGTTACAAACCTCACTTCCTCCTAAATGTCTGTCTTTTTCAGGGAAACTATGGCTGAGGGATCATTTCTGTCCCTGGAGCTTTTACAATGGGAAACAAGTTTTATGGGCAAGTTTGCTGTATTTTTCTCTGTTAATGCTTCAAGCTTGTGGAGAGATCTCTTCTTATCATCTCAGCTAACATTTGTCTGGTAAATATTCAGTTACCACATTGACTAAGTTGTGATGTAAATTCCCCAAACCTACGAGACACCAGTATTAAGAATTAAATCACAGCTTCCTTCCCTGATGCTTTTCCTGACCTATCTTTTAATAAAGAAAGAACTCTCTGTGCTAATCAAGGATGCCTGAACTTCATTCATGTATTGCCTTTTCCCAGCTCTTAACAGAAACACTTTGGGCAGTGTACAGTCACACATAAAATAGTCTGAGGCTCCAGAATCCTTTTTTTGATATTTTGTGGTCCCTTTATTAAGCAGTATGGACACACACCCTTAATATCTTTATACAACATTTCATACAAGGGATGTGCCACATCTTTTCTCCAGTCTTTCAGTAAAATTGGTTGCAGATAAAAACACTTATGTGTCTCGCAGTATCTTTTATGTGTTTTGAATAGCTCTTCATTTTAAAGAGCAGGATTTCCAAGTGAATAAAATAAAATGCAATTCTACATTCAGAAACCAGAAGAAAATGGAAAGTTGAATGCTGCATGAGAGAGAGCAATTTTTCTCTTTGGCTTGCAAATCTGTTTGTAGACCTCTGTCAAGAGGAAGAGTTCTCCAGGAGCAAAAGAGCTATTGCTGCCACCGAGACAGACGTCCTTCCGTTACAGATGCACACAACTTAATTCATAAGGCTGGAAACTCCATCTCCTTCTGTCATTTTTACTTTTGACTCCTTTGAAAGCAAACAGGTCACATTAGAAAGGCTGTCTTGGCAGTTATGGGAGGGTTTTATGTATGAAAGTAGCGATTATCACAAAAATAACATGAGTCCAAGATCAAGAGCTCTAATGAAAGCACAAGTCATCAGGAGGCTCATTAAATTATGAGAGCTCATAGTACTCTACTCAGTTAAGGAGGAACTACTAGAACAGCACAAATTGCACAGAAATTTATTTTAAAAGGTACAGACTCTTGGTGTGCATGAGCTCAAGAGACCCACACTTGCTTCTTGGCTCCACATAGTGGCCTACCACATATCGGAGCCAAGTGGGAAAGAGTGGTAGCTTAGGGTGAAACTGAGGTTTAAACCCTTTGAGCTTGTTGTGAGGTCAATTTTTAAAAGAAGGATTGCAGATAAAGGCATAAGGAGTTGCTTAAGTCAGTTGACTTTCCTAGATCTCCCAGTTCAAATAAAAGACAATCAGCTCTTGTAGGCAAATAGCCCCCCAGCCCAGTGCTTCTCACCAGATTTGTCTTAGCTTAACCTTTACTTTTTTTTTTTTTTAACCTTCAATTAAAGCTAATTGCATCACAGTCCCACCTGGCCATACAGTTAAATCAGTGTGCAGAATAAATGAAGGCCACAAGACAAATGTCCCCAGCTTGCCTTCCAACACCAGGAATTATCATTCCACTGAAGATCCAGTCTTCCTGGTACCTCCTGCTCTACCTTCTTGTGGTGGCAGGGCCCAGGGGGATGTGGAAAGAGGGGGAAAGAACCAGGAATCAAAGCTGTGGAGTGCTGGAGTAATCCATGAAACTCTGAGTGGTGGTTGACTGGAACAGTAGAGGCTGTGATAAACAGCATTCATCAATGACTTGTTCCCAATGCCACAGTTTCCCTGAAATTTTCCCCAGTGGAAAAGTGAAACTATGAAGATTGTTTAAACAGACGCCCTTTATTTCAACAAGAGCATGCTAGATACCAGTGTGCAGCCAAGTGCCACATTTCAGCTGAAAGTGGCACCTTCAAATGCTAATGTCATTGCAAGGGGTGGGGTGACCATGCCTGTCATATCCTCCCAGACTTTAGTGATGATTCAAGCACAGAAATGAAGTTCTTTCCATATCATATACCCTGTGGGGTGTACCTGAAGATATACGCTCTGTTGGAGGAGCATCAGGAGGTAACCTTGCCTTTAAGATATTACTGTGTACACCACCAATCACCCTGCAAAGTCTTCCCTAGTTGCAATATGTACCTATGACACCATAAATAAATCCCACAAAATGGAAGAAGTCTGTTACCTTCCAGAAATTCCATGACTCCTATCCACTCTGGGAAAATTAACATCCATCCTGAGAACAGATATCACTATTTACAAAGGGACTTGAGAAAATGAACTGAAAAGTACACAAGCCCTTACAACCCTTTAACACAATTGAACTGTTCTATGTCACTAACAACGACAGAAAAACAAGTATTAATAGCTTGAGATGGAGCAACCGGCCAGAAAAGAAATAAACAAAAAGCTGCAAACACAAAAACACAGCAGCAAAGCCAACAAAGAGCAATAAAATTTGAATTGGAGCAGCCTAGCAACACAACTCCAGGCTTTCAGAAGGGGCACTGACAGAGCCCTGGAAGAGCTTTCCTAAACACCGCAGTAACACTGCATTAATGTGCACTTCTTACGAAAAGAGCTTCTACAAACTGCCTGGAGGAATAGGCAACATTCAGAATGGCAGTGTTGTTCTAGGTGGAGAGGGATCAGACCAGCCCTGACTAACAGGTCCTGGGAGGCACCACTGACTTTTTGCAAAGGAGACAACACCTCCTCATCTGAAAGGTCAGAAGTGAGAGCAGACCTGCCTACCTCTACCTGCATCCCAGCACTGCTCTAGTCTAGGCAGCATCCACAGAAAGGTTCCTGGGCTTAACAGTAGCTGACATCAGGTGGCCTGTGGCTTGTTGTGTTGCAGGATGGAGAGGAAATAGGGGTTCAGAAAGGAGCTTACACAGCTGAAAAATGCAATGTACTATCAAAAAAAAAACAAACAGCACTGACCTTTTTTTATCATCACCCACCAAAATATCTCCCCAGAACAGCAATTTTCCCAACACCCAGCATTAGGTACCAGTCCTAGCACTGAATGAATCAAAGCTGGTGTGGGACTCAGGTTTTTCTACACTTGCTGGAGAAAACTGTAATTGGTAGCACCTTGTTTCTACATAATGCTTAATCACTTGCCTCTAGAGGTGTTCAGCAACAAATTCCTAGAGAATGAATGGAGAATTGTCAGACATGGGCATCTGCATCAGGGTTTTCAGTGATATAATTTGTTTTCATTCAAGATCTAGAGCCCAAATAATGTCTAAGACAGACAGCCAACTTAAGTAGTTTTCAAGGGAATGGATAGTAACCTTCTCAGGGCTGGCATCACCCACCTTCAAAATCACAAAGCCAAGAGAAAGAAGAACTTCACACTTCTCTGCCTCACACAGACAAAAAACGGTCTGGCAAAAAAAAGTGCTAAACTGTGATAGACAGCTCTCCTATGTACTTGGTCCAACGAATACAGCACAAAGGGTCATTAAAACATGATAGAAAAATCCACAAAGGCCACTAAGTAAAATGGATTGGCTGATGTTAGCCCACACAAAGCAATGAGGAAAGAAGATTTACAATGCCCCCAAAAGGCAGTTAACTCCAAAACTCATTTTTGTAAGTACAACTGTATGTCCTTAGTTTTGTATATTCACTCCTGAGAAAAACTGAGAAAAATAAATACAAAGAGCTATGATGTCCATCATTAATCATTTGTTAAATAAAGTCTTCCCCTGGAGACGATACCTGAAATATTTCTCTGACTTTAGCACTGCAAAAAATCCTAATAATCTAATTAGATTAGACGTGAGGAACATCCCATCAATATTATGAGGTCCCTCAAAGGAGAGGGGTAGTATTACTCCATACACTTGTATGGCACCATTGTATTTTCAGCTGTATGCCATCATGCCACCGGTTTCATTACTACTCTGTAAAAGAGGTAAATTTCCCTTGGACTCCACAAAGCTCTGGATCAGAGAATCATTTTCATTTGTTCATCTGTTTGTTATGATTGGCTTTTGAAAATACCATTTGTTCATTTGTTAATAAAAGTAAATAAATGGAGAAATAAGTTTATTTTCTGCTTCTGAAGACTGAGATTTAAGACACTTTTTCCCCTTCAGCCAAAGAAATGAAATGCAGCAATATTTAGAGATAATATTTACCTTTATTAGAGATAAATAATATTTATCTCTAATAGATAATAGAGATAACAATATTTACCTTTTCCCACTAGTTACGTTTACTCCGTGGTTATAGCACTGCTGGTTGTGTAAGAGACTCTCAGCCCACATTTTCATAGCTGCACTTAGCAGGACTCACACTACTCTGCTGACATTTTGGTTTGGCTGTCTCCAAATTCAGTTTTGCTGGAGTGAACCTGGTAGCAGAGGCCAGAGTTTGTTTTGGTTCTTAACAAAACGTCATGTAAAGAAAATTTTACTGGACACACTTTTCTGTAAAGCCTTGTTATGCATGTACTAATCTCCAGCTTCAAGAAAGAACAGTTTTCTGAGGAAAACAAATGGAGTTACATAAAAAACGTTGTAAAAAAAATAAATCTTGCAATGTTGGAAATGTCAGCCATATGCATTCATTCAGTTTACTGTTACTCCCACAGCATTTCCCCTGACTGATGTTTCCCATAGGTGACAAAAAATGCTCCAACTACTATCACACTGTTTTATCTAAGTGTTTTTCCTAAGCAATCTCTTCTAACCATTGTGAACAGGTGACTTCTTGCACTTATGTTGTGACTAACACATATAAGAGTTAATAAAATGGATTAAAACCCACCTAACATACAGATCACAAGTAGTTGTTGGTGGATAAGCATTAATGAATGGAAAAGGGCAAAAGCTACACAGTAGGTTCCAAAAGGATTGCTTCTAAACATGACGTTATTCTCAGCAAGTTGCTAGAGGCAAATATGAATTTACTGATGGTAAAATGTATGAATGATGCAAACTGAGGAGGTGGTTAAGCCTTTATTACAGGAGAAGCAT